TCTCTGGAGCTGTCGAGGCTGAGCGGCTACGAGGAGATGAAGTGCACCGCCCGTAATGTCTTCCCGGCTCCTCGTGTAACCTGGGCGACTGAACCGCCCACTTTCGAGGACCTCCGACCCGTCACCCGGATGCTGGCCAACAAACAGGGACTGTACACGGTGGACAGTCGCCTCCGGCTGCTGACCGGACAGCCTGACCTCATCTACATCTGTAAAGTCATCACACCCTACGGCGGGCCGACCTGGACCAGCTCGCTCAGGGAAAGAGGTGAGAAGCATTTATGATTTATGACCTGAGTGGGTCCTCTGATGGTTGAAACCATTTACTGCAGGATTTATGAGCTATACTGCAGCCAGCCACCAGGGGGCACTGCAGATGCTTTGGCTTCACTTATTGGAGCCGTCATGTCGGCCATCTTTACTAAACGGTTGAAACATTTCCTCCCGGTAGATATAAGAGGGACTCAAGGGAGGGACCTGACCCTCCCCTGCACCGCCCCTTCCTACCTGAACCACCCCTCTCTGGAGTGGAGCTTCTCCGGCGGCGAGGACCCCTCCCACATCCTCACCTACGACAGTCTGTCAGGGCACAGCATTGCCACGGAGCTCTGGATTAACCACGTGGAGGTGGACGGCTTCAGGGTCCCGTTTGGGGACGGCTCTCTGCGACTAATGGACCCCAAGCACTCGGAGCACACGGGCAGCTACACCTGCAGGTTCTCCGTTCCGTACAACACGCACGAGGAACGTGCCGACGTGACCATCGATGGTCCTGACGGTGAGGTCACCGACACAAAGTGGATTTTATCAGTCCTCGAAATACTTTTTACTCAAGATCCAATTTCTTCTCTGGGAAATCGAATCTCACAATGTTGAAAAAAGAGATGAAAAAATCCTGGATCACAAAAAATAACAACTTAGAGAAACTAAATATCGTAACAAAAGTCACCAGTCTGGTCGTCTATGTATAAAAATTCGACATAACAAAATGAAAGTAAGAGAGAATAGGCAGAAATCACTCAATTCGACCTTTCCAGGTGCATTTTTTAAGCGGTGTGTGTTTGTACCTGTGTGCAGGTGAGCGGAGCACGTCAGACGGGCCCACTCATTGGTGGATTTTGGGCCTGGTGATTGTGGGACTCATCGTGGCTCTGGCAGCCATGTTTGCGTTCCTGAAGCTGAGAGGTAAAGATGGACTCCAGGGGATGTGGACAGAGAGACACAGGAAGAAAACAGCTTGACTGCACTGATGTCATCGTTCAAACTCGTCGAAATACAAACATCTGTGTGTAGGAGCAAAATCTGTGATGATGTTTTCACAGGAATACTTCGACACAATACACAGAACACAACCGAACATGTTGAATCATTTTGGTTTTGGTAGAAAACTCTGGTCAGGAAAGCAAAACAATAAAACCACATCTTTAAACCTCGTGATGAGAAACTCTGGTGTAGAGGAGATTTTAAAAATGCACTCAAACGTCCATGTATTGCCTCAAACAACGAGGTCGTGTGTTTTATCAGTGTGAGTCAGTCGGCAGGATTAAAAACTACAGAAGCGATTTTCATGACACCTGGTGGAAGGATGTGGAACAGGTCAGGGAAGGACCCGGTACATTTTGGTGTGGAGGGATTTCTTTTGACTCTCTGAAACATTGTGAGATAGAAAGTTTCGTTTCCACTCGTCTCTATGAAAAGTTTACACTGATTAAAGGGGCAAATGTGGAAGAACAACAATCCACAGATTATCCAAACCTCTGCGATGACACACCCACACCCGTCCATCCAGCTACAACCAATTAGATCCGGGTCACTTCTGTTCTCCGATTGCCAGATGCATTGTAGGAAATGTAGTCAACCTCCAGCAGAGGCAGAATCAGACGTAGATGATTAGATAAATGCAAATGAGAAGAGTTGACGTGAGGGTGGGAGGGTGTTCTGAGGGTTTAGATGTGTTCTGGTGAGTTGAGTCACGTGTTGAGGAACGTGCAGGTGCTTTAAAATGATGACGTCTCGTTGCTGTGTTTGCAGGGGGCTCGGGCAGGAAGCACAGAAAGGACCCTGAAGAGGTCACCGAGCTGCATTTAGTCAAAGGTCGGTCCTCAGAAGTAAATACACTGTGTGCACAGTCCAACAGCAGGTGGAGGCAGAGACTAAACAAAGTGTCTGAAGTCAACTCTGGTTGATTATTGTTAATGAATTCTCAGATTTTTCTGTTTCCTCTCAGACTCGACGAGGGACAGTCACGTGAACGAGAGCACGGCCCTCAGCGCCGGCAGCACTAACGGACAGTCGAGCCTCCAGACCTGAGAAAAGCCTGGAAACTGAACTAACAATATACTAACAAAACAAACACACAAACACTGCAACACACTGAAGAGGAACTGATGTTTAACTTTTATTTTATATTTTCAAATGACTTTTTGAAAAAGGGATTCTTCTAATTTATTTACGTGTTGAACGAAACGTCTTCCTGAAGGGTTGGTGGCCCCGGACATGGACCTGTTGTAGCAGGAGGTTCTTATCTATGAAGAAACCTAAAGGCTGAGTCCTGATAAATGAAACGGAAGTTTTCATCCAGGGGCCTTTGGACCTTTAGCTGCATTTGGACGAGGGGGAATGAGGGCGTAGCTTTAGGCCTGTTCAGAGGTGGTGGAGTGATATTTATCTGTTGCTCTGTGATGTCGTGACAATCAGACCCATCACTCAAAGTAGCTCTTCTCTTTTTGCACATCGTGTCATTCAACAAGTAGCGACCAGCGTCCGTTTGAACGAGTCACAAAATACACTGAATGCTTAGAAACAGCTAAAGAGTTCCTCTTGTTGGACTCAGCTCCGTCAGGACGGCTCGGACCAAAGTCCAACTTCCATCCACCCGTCAGCTGAGCTCTTAATTATTCTTCAGCGGTCTCAGGCAGCCAATCACGGATGACTTTAGGTGAGCGGCGGGATTAAAACAACTGTCCTCACACTCAAATTCACACAGGAAAATAACCTGAGATGTAATTGTTTTCAGGACGTTATGCTACACAGCCTCCAGATGCACACACACATGAGCTGTAGGGTGCAGCGTGCTCGCCATAGAGGCAACGGCTTTGTATTGTGGACCTGAACCTGAACCTCACCTTATCTTATCCTTGAACTGAGAAGATAAATGTGACTGTAAATTACTGATTGAAAACAAAACTGAAACGCTGACGTGAAATCTACAGCGGACTCCGTTGACTTTTCTCTCTGCGCTTCATGAACCTGTGTCATATTTAATGTGAGGTTATTAAAACAGACTAATCACTGAACTCGGGGTGTGTCGTTCTTTCTGCACATATTAACCACACGAGCTCCCTCAGAGATTTGGTTTGGTAAATGATTTGATATGTTACACATTAATCTGCTGAAAAGATTTTTTTTTAAATCATAACCAACTGTAACCAAACAAATCCTCCAACGAAGTGAAAAACAGCCTCCAGAGGTCAAAACCACTTTTTCAGATAAGTGTGGATCCACGTTCACAGACTGTGACAAACATAACACATGAAACCCATGTTTCTAGAATGAGTGCCACAGTTTGTGTTTCTTATCGTCTCTGACATTTGGAGAATAAATTAACATCTGCTCAGAGTTCACCGGGAGGGAAAACGTTTGTTGGAGCAGAACTTCATTGAGAAACTTCACATTTTTAGGTTTTCCTCATTATTAAACTAAACATCCATCAGTTCGATGCAAACTAGAACAGCTAACAGCTAATTCGGCTTAATGGTGCCAGTTTGTTAAGAGTATGAGAACTAGACAAAAATAAGAGACCGCAGTGATAAACTTTATCTGATAGACATTAGTGTTTTTATATTTTTAAAAGTAATCAATAACGAGACAGGAATTGGTTGTCTCCTGCAATCACAGCTGGGCGAAGCTAGGATGATGACGAGTAGACTTTAAATACTGAAAGCAAATTCTAGAGCTTATCAGACAATGTCATGATCAGCAGTAAAACCTTCTATCTTTGTTAAACATTTATCAAATCTTTCAGTCCCATGCAGTAAAACCTGCTGGTCTACATATTTATTCTCTCTCTCCTTCCTTGAATCCTCCTTCACCTCTCAGGTGAACTTAAAGCAGGATGTCTGAGTTCTGCTCTCTGCTCCTTGTGTTGATCCTCAACATGTGGACTTTCACCACAGCAGGTACGTGAAGTCTGATCTTATTCACAAATGACGGATTCTGTTTCAACGTAGTTCTTTGTACAGGTATATTCATTTTCATCAGACTAAGCAGGACTTACTT